TGGAGTAAATTCATTATCAACAACTCTTAAGCAAATGCTGACTTGTTCTTTAATTGCAATGTCACAAGTTTCGTCTAAAAGTATGGCGTAATACTTTCTCAAATGAATATCACTTATAACAGATCTGAGAACGCTGTGTGACATAATTTCCAACAATTCATTTTGAATATCTTTTGAAGTCCATTGATAGGATGTTTGTTCAAGCCATTGCTGTAATTCAGGACTATCTTCTGCACGCAGACGTAAAAGACAGTGAAAATTTGAATCATCATCGTCATGAGAGCGTATAGCGATATTTTGAACAGACAAATATTGTAAAGTGGTTATAATTTTAAACATCGCGGTCTTTGCTAAAGTTCGTTGTTTTTCATGAGCTGTAACTAAGTGTCCAGCAACATTTGTTCCTGATCGTAGGTGAGACATTTTCATGACTGCTTCGCGGTGGCTGCAAGATTTGTCGTGGGATTGGAATCTCTATAAAGCGTGTTTCCAATTTGAAAAACCTTCATCTATAAAACACATGTCACGCTTTGTACTAAATTTAAACAAATTCAGCTTTTCACATTCTTTGCATATTTTGCAAAATGCTCTTGTCGCGTTGCTATTGTTATTGTCAGTCATCGACTCCAACCAGCCGTATAGCTTTAGCCATGAATTCTGAAATTGTCTTCCAACGGTTTGCTCAGCTGATTTTTTTGGAACGTCGTTTATAATTTCATCACCTAATCTTTTTTCAGCAGACGTTATATTTGCGGAAATTATAATATCACATTTCTCATCAACAGATGCAGAAGCAGAGGATTCTTTTACAAAAACCTTTTTAGGAAGTTTTTGAATGAATTTATCCATTATTCAAAAATAAATACAATCGGAAAAATTGCTGAATTTTCAAACTAATGATTATTTAAATTTGTAAAAATTAGTCATAAATTATTCATATTATTCAAATTATATAATTATTTATTAGGTATCCAAAGCAACGGTGGCGGTTTAAACAAAGATAGTTAATTGTTTCAAGATCTTGTTCAATTTATGTTTTTCCAAACTTTTTTTGTGCTTCAGATCGTGACTTTTTTCAATCCTAGCTTTAAAATAACGATAATCAAAACCAATGGAAACAATGTAAACATTAATTCTGATTTTTAAAAATGTCAGTTTT